ATTCCAGATTAAGGCGAGATCCACATGGGTTTATAAATTTGGTTCTTTTGGGATTGGATTGGAATTCTTAACCTAATCTTTCATCAGTTATGGCAGTTTTAAAATAACATAGACAATTCTAAACTGTAGCACAATCACTTTTGGCCTTAAATTTCAATTTGAGAAGATAAAATATGTGTGGCATTTCAGGGCAGTCAGGTTTTCAAATGAGATGTAAGGTAATATAAACATTTAAGACACTCAGCCAATTCATTTCCTCTCTCGATCTGTCTCTCCCTCCCTCTCTTTCATTTTCCTTTTGCACTGTTTTCAAATTTCAAGTGAAATGAACCACTGAGAGGTACATACCCAGTTAAATACTGACTATATAGAAACATCCATAGAAGGTTCTATATTTTGCCACTGACTTATTTGTAGACAAGTTTCACTTAGATTAGGGGCTGACTAAGATGCAAAATTTTGCCATTGGAATGATACATTTTTAGCTTTTGAAACTGAGCAGGACCTTTCAGGGTTTCCTGAAGTAGACCCCCCCTCCCTTATGTCCCCAGTCTCTTGTTTGTAGAAAACCTTTAGCCTCCTAGGTCTTCCTTGAGTTCCAAAGAGCACATTGAATCAGAGAAGTGAGAAAATAGAGAAAGGAAAACAGTCAAGCAAGATAAAATAATGGTATTTTGGCCATAAAACAGAGTCATGAACCTTTATTTTTCTCTTTAGGGGCTGTAGATAATATTATGAGCCGCCATGTCCTCAAGTTGTTTTGCAGATACTAAAACCCCCACCAGGCACAAGAAATTAACTGCATGCTGCTCACAAGCAGGTAGACCCCAGACTGATAGGAGCCAGAAAGTTGAGACGTTGACTCCCAAACTACGACCTGTTACCTCACCACCAGCCAATCAGAAGAATGTCCATGAGCTGGTCAGACACCCTGCAGTCCTCACCTAACACTGACTTCAAGACCCTTCCCTGAAAGCCACTGCGGAATTTGAGTCTCTTCAGCCTATTCTCCTTGCTTGGTCCCATGTTGGGTGCCTGGATAAAAACCACAACCTGGTGTCTGTAGATTCACCACAGCCTGGTGTCCGTAGATTCACCACGGCCTGGTGTCCGTAGATTCACCACAGCCTGCTGTCAGTAGATTCATTAGAGCCTACTGTCAGTAGATTGGTTTTGATGTGTGTTGGGTGAATGGATCCTAGTTTGCTTCAGTAACACTTTTAAGATACTGGTCTCAACAAGACAGGTAATGGTATTTCTGCAGTTGGGCAGTATATTTTGTTGTTGTTGTTCTAAAGACTGGATTTCATAAAGTCTTGAGGAAATTCTCTAATTCTGTGTACTAACAACCTTTATTTATATCTGTGGTAGTTTAAATCAGCTTTTACTCTATTTTTCCCTTCACATATGTCAGAATTTCTTACTTTTAATGACAAATCATCAAGAGACTCCTATTAATATAGCCAATCTAGCCTGTGTTTGCACACAAAGTAAAAGAAATTTGAACTTTAGTTTTATCCTATGTGCAGCCATGAAATTAAAAGACGCTTACTCCTTGGAAGGAAAGTTATGACGAACCTAGGCAGCATATTAAAAAGCAGAGACATTACTTTGCCAACAAAGGTCCATCTGGTCAAGGCTGTGGTTTTTCCAGTGGTCATGTATGGATGTGAGAGTTGGACTGTGAAGAAAGCTGAGCGCCGAAAAATTGATGCTTTTGAACTGTGGTGTTGGAGAAGACTCTTGAGAGTCCCTTGGACTGCAGGGAGATCCAACCAGTCCATCCTGAAGGAGATCAGTCCTGGGTGTTCACTGGAAAGACTGATGCTGAAGCTGAAACTCCAATACTTTGGCCACCTCATGCGAAGAGTTGACTCATTGGAAAAGACCCTGATGCTGGGAGGGATTGGGGGCAGGAGGAGAAGGGGACGACAGAGGATGAGATGGCTGGATGGCATCACTGACTTGATGGGCATGAGTTTAAGTAAACTCCGGGAGTTATTGATGGACAGGGAGGCCTGGCGTGCTGCGATTCATGGGGTCGCAAAGAGTCGGACACGACTGAGCGACTGAACTGAACTGAATTGATGTGAGCTAAATGTGTACTTTTTATTGCACTTCAGTGGGTCTGATTTCTACCTTCATAGATTCCTACTTTTCTAAAATATACATATTAGGATTAATGTAAAATATGTCTGAGAAAAGTACATTTGTTTTTAATTTTTAGATGAATTGATTTTCATACATACAAATCATACATATTGTTCACTGCCACTGCTTTACTATCACAATAGAACACAGCGTATTAGCTGAGCATCTCAGATGGAGTGAGTGGATCAGATTTCTCTAATCATATTTCTGTAAATGATTTCATAAAACATCCACACCATAATAAGCAATGCCAATGAAAAGAAATCTTTTCAAGTTTTTTGCAGTATCTTGAATCTCTGCAGCCATGGTGACATTTTTTTGTCATTTTGAAAATGAAGAAATGTCTTACATGTTTGTTTTGATTATCTGTCCAAAAATCGGATGGCTCTTTAACCTGACATCTTATGAAGAGAAAGACCAGAACCATATATTATTTTATGACCAGTGTGTGTATTAGGCAGTGGCACTTCTAATTCCTCACAGTTTGAAGGGCCTGAACTATTTAATATGACAACAGTGCTAGAAATAGGTACAGAGTGTTTCGTGTTTATATAGACTCAGGTCACCTCCAGTAGACATTGAAAATAACTATATAGTGATATAAAGTGTTAGAAAGCCTTTATGGAAGAGTAATTCTACCTGTGCCTTGAAGAATCCATTGGATTTTGAAAATTAGAAGGAGGTAGGAAAAAGCATTTGTAGAGATAGTAGACTAACCAAAGAAAGTGAAGATGAAGGCTTCTTCAAAAAAGACAATTAATGCAGACTGATATCAAGTAGGAAGGATACCTAGAGGGGAGTCATGCAAATTATACCTTGAAGATCTCACTGGGAATGTTTTTAAGTCTAGAAAGTGAAATTTATACTCTATATTGTATGTCATGGGAAATGACATGGCAAGATCTGAGTCTCAGAAAGTGATGTCTGTGGCTATTCAGAAGATGGATTGAAAAGAAGAGTCTGGAAGAAAGGAAACAAATCACATGAATGAGCAAGCAGTGAGATCCCATCTTAACAGAGGGGGCACAGAAAAAGAGCAAGTGACATGCCAACTGCACACATAGATTATAGAAGGATAACTGAGGGAACTTGGTGATGGAATGAGTGAGGGAAAGAAAATACCTGATGACAGTGATGAAACTGGACTTCTCTCCTAAACCTCTTTTATAATAGTTCTAGCTTCTAAATCATGGAATTAAGGTAAAGACAATTTGGATTGTCCCATGGACATTCAGGAATAGTACTTCTAAAAGCCATCTACATATTGCGCCATTGCTATGTGCCTGATGACAACCTAGTGTGTACTGAGAATGTCCACAGTATTACATTGTGCTGTGTGGATGGCTGATGATTCAATAATACGTGGGATACAGGTGCGTGGGAAGATACAACTTTATAGGATATGCTGGGCTATGCATCATCTTGATTATCTTTATGTAGGTGTTCCTACAGAGCGGTTTTATGTTCCTACTTAGGTAACACCTAGGACTGCTGAAGACTTGAGGATTTAGGAAATGTCTTCTGGTCAGTGGGGGGCAGTGTTGTGCAGTAGAAGGAGCACAAATGGTGTGGTCAGAAGGTTTATGTATAATTCCTGGCTTTAAGACTCTCTCTTAACCCCAGGATTCCTGACCCTGGATAACCAGAGCATCTTCAGAATCACCTGGAATTTCCTCTTAAAATATAAATTCTCTACCTTGGGGATTCTGATTCAGTCAGTCTGGAGTAGGGTCCTGAAATTGGTGTTTTGTTTTTTAACATCCTAGGTAATTTTAATAGTTAAATTTGGGAAATAGCAATTTAATCTTACTAGTCGCTGCTTTCATAGGATTGCTATAAACATTAAATGAGAAAATACATCTGATTTTTATAAGCTTTAAAACATAATAAACTACTAGTTGTTAATTAGGTGACTTCTTGAAATAAAATTCCCATCCCTTTTTAAAAGACTTCAATTTCTCATCAGTTCGAAGCTTGACTGTATGAGAGCATATTATATTTGTTTGATCTTTATACATTGTGATATAAGAGAGAAGACTAATGAATTCTGTCCAATACATGCACATAATACATATAATATAAATTAATTGGACGATAGTTTTTGATGTTGAAGAGATAAAAGAAAGTAGAAGACTCTTAAATTTTTGTTAAATCTGAAAAATAAATGCCAGATTTTAAAGATGGCAAGGAAATATAAACAGAAATTGTTTCTCTATTTTTAATACAAAACACATTTATTATTGACACTGTGATAATTTAATTTACAAATATACCCTGACTTTCCAGCTTTAAGGCAATAGCTTAAGTTAAATACGTTGTTCTCTTCTTCATTTCTTTCAAGCCCCCAAAACAATCAAACAAACAACACTGAAAAACTTTGTCTACAACAGCAATGGAGATTCTGAAACACAGACTTTTCAAATAGTCGTCCAAGTAAAAGAAATTTCAGCAGCTCAATCCAGTCTTTGTATAACACTATGCAGCATAAATACCACTTGACCTTGAAGCTTACAGCATGTTTTAATCAGTTTCAAAACCTTTATTCACAGTTTCTGTGTGGCAAGTGTTACCCGGCCTTCTTGGTGCTGAGGGATGTTCTAATACGCAGGTCCGCTTTATTTTATGACAGTACCACAGCATCTCCTTCCTTCTACCATCACTAAATTTTCACCTCACACTTCTTCAGCCCTGAGCCTGGATAGCTTCCACGTTAATCTGTTTTGAGTCATTGGTTCTTCCCTTGGGCCTGTGAGTCATCCAAAAAGGCCAAAGTGTTCCCCCAGGGAGCCATCCTCTTGCCTTCCTTCTGTACTTGATACCATCACTAATTCCCTCCAGCCAGGAGCCAGTCACTTTAGACTATTAGCCTGAAGGTCATTCAGAAGATTTAAGTATATATTTGATTTGAGGAACCTGGGATACGAGTCCTTTTCCATAAGAGTATATATGATTTTTTGGGCTTCATCAAAAGACGTGGGTGTTGGTGCTTTAATCTTCTTGGCTGTAGATTCTCGAGTGCGGAAGTCAATATTGATCTAAAAAAGAAATCCCCATTGGTTCATATACACTTCTCGTTTGTTGCATATTTTATGATGTTACTGTTGCTTTCAAACTATCTGGGAATGGTGACTCTAAACTCTTTTTTAAGTCAGCTCAAATATCTTTTGCATGCCTATTCTAAACATACCTTATGCTAGGTGTGGAGGAGTTAAAAAGAAATATCACAAAGAGGCAGAGATATCTTTGTTCCAAATTAACTTACGGTCTCTCTTAAATATTTATATAAGGTGAGACATGCATCAAAAAAGTGATGTGCACATTTACAGGAGCAGAGGATGCTTGAACCAGAAATATTTAGCAGGAAGTGGGCATTACTTCTAACTAGAAATACTTCTGCTGCTGTAACCCATGTATTGCGCTAATCCCTTCTTTTCCTAGCCAGCTCATCCAGGACCCCCTGATACACAGTTCTGGTAAGTGTCACCAGTACTCCTTACCCCACCCTATCAAGTTAGCTTGTTTTACAAAACCAATCTTTCATTTAATCTTTTCACAGATATAGAAAATTAGATTATCATTGCACTGAACTATGGAAATACACTTAGATATACAGCAGTGAAAATCGTGATGCTCAGAAAGGATTTCATTTTGCAACTATGTTGAATGTTATCCTGTATTGAAATTCCTTTACATATAAGCTAATGGTAATAAACTAAATACTCACTTGTTTGGCAGCATCTGACTGCACAAATGCCTTATAGATTTTCTCCGCTTTGCAATGCAAAAGATCAGACTTTGTTTTTTTATAGTCTTCACAAGCCAGCCAGAACTCAATATTCTCCTCACTGAACTCAGACTTCAGGAAATTTCCAAAGACGTCTTGACCAGCTAAAAAGACAGGGTGAGGGGGTGAGATAAATTAATTGAGCCAATAAATGAATAACTTGGAGAAATTTTACAAGAAAAATACTAGCATATTCTCTGTGTACAAAGGAGAGAGTTGGTTCCTGCTGAAATTACTATTTGTAGACAGCCTTAGAGATCCCTTCATTTATAGTTTATCTGTGGTCAGATTCACTTGTCACAGTCATACAACTTAGCTTAGTGGTGGCTATAAAACTGTGCTTTATTTCCATCTGCTTATTAAATTAAAATTCTTCTCTGCAGATTAAAAACAATCTCTTATGCTACCAACCCAGCCAGAATGCAGAGTATTTTAGGGAATAAAATACTGACAAAAGGCATTGATTGCATGCTAATCATTAACAAATATAATTCCTCCATCCAACTCACATAAGTCAGAAGATGTGAGGCCTGTATGTTACATATGTATGCTGTACTGATCATATTGCTGAGGCCTTTCAATGGGCCATTTCTATAGCATTGTTTGTTTTTCTGAATTGTAAACTAAGGCAGATAATAAGCAGATGAACCAGACTGAACTACTTGATCCCTATGTGAGGGTGTTTGGAAGAAGAGGATTAGCTCCGTGGGTAGGGACAAGCTGCCCATCTATGTCCCTGACTGAGGTCCTATTTCAACAGGATCCCAGTGTCTATTATGAGGGTTAAGGCAAGCTGATTTCATTCACCTTCTTCATCAGAAACTCCCCACAAGACTGTGGTTTAAAGAGTCTTTTATTATCATATCTATGTTATAATGTGTCATGTTTTATATAATGCAATTATATGCCATGTGTCTCAACCACCTTCAAGGCAGCAAGACACTTTTGCTTTTGAATCCTTGTTGCTTCTAAAAATGCCCGCACATAAAAGTGGGCTGAATGAATGATTTAATGCATGTGTGAATGGAGAATATAATTATTGGACTGAGTGAATCCTGCTCCTTATATCCCATGGTACAAAAACACATCCTTTAGGTAGCTTTGAAAATAGTGGTTGAGATGTTTAATTGACTTTTTAAAACTTTGAACTCCAGAGACCCAGCCTGATTTTAAATTTTGCTACTATAACGACCCCTGGAAGTTACTAGCTGCCTTGGCACATTTTTCTAAAGGGTGGCAGCAGCGCTGAGCGCCGAGATGACGTGACACCTCAAGGAGGCGTAGCATGCTGAAGCTGTCAGTGCTGCTCCACTGCTAGAGGACGGCGTTCCACACGCCTCCACCCACAGCACTCGATTTTAATGAGTCTGTCCAGTCTGTCTGCACACTGAGATAAAGCCAGAGACATCCGACAGTGAATCTGCACTTACTTTGGTTGGCAAGAAGTTTCTCCAGGGATTCAGACCACTGCTTCACTTCATCAGCAGAGAGCCTGCAAGGGGGGCAATATTTACATCCATTAGTATTTTTGTGTGTAAGCACAAATGAAATCAGAATGCTGCTGTATTTTGATAATTTCCCAAACTAAGACTCTATGACTAATAAATTTTATTAAAATTTATCTATAAGAAAACAATAATTCGCTTAGAATTACTATTGTTATGAAAGTATCTGCCAGTAAAATGTGAAAAATATCCAAATATACCCCAACAGTATAATAAATAGCAAATATATGCACGCACATTTGTATTTAATTTACATTGGTACTAATGTAGCTTAATCTTATTAGGCTTGTTACTTAAAAGAAATGAAGTCCATTATATTAGTATTACTGTCGTGTTAGAATATAAAGCTAATGCATAGGCTGCTTATATAGTGACAGTGCCATGTATTAGTATACTTACAGGTCCTTGGACTTGGAAGGCTTCATTCCAGATTCCAGATGTGGGATCATAGATCTCAGGTATGCTTTCACATCCATTCCACTACAAAAGACACAAAAGTAAATATTCATGTTTCTTCAGTACAATACCTTTTATTAAAAAGAAAAGAACATGAAGTAAACTTCTCTAAGGAATCAGGTCATAATAAAAAAAGCTGATACAACATATTACTTTGTTAAAGAGTGAGCCACTTTTTATGAGACAAAGTCTGGAAGAATTCCCATTTCATTTAACAGCCTACCATGATTCACTTTTAAATACAACCAAATATACAACCAGATTCACAGAGGTCCTTGCTCTGATTTAGCTAAACTAAAAAGGCTCATATTTTCTTCCATTCATTTTCAATTGTTCTGCCATTAAAGATCACCTAAGTCCAAATTCACAAAGTGAAGGAACTTACAAAGTCTTGGGTCTCTTTTTCTGCGTTTTGTCGTCTAGAAGTGAATGATCAGTTCCTTTCAGTTCCTTTGGGTTGGCAGAGAGGAACATGCCTGGCATCTTGTCTAACCTTGATGTGGAGATGGCTGCTGCTCGCATCGTCTCCAGAGGCAAATGTCTGTGAGTCTGCGTCTCTGCCGCTTTATATAGTGACGGCTCACAGGCCCTCGCTGTGCAGACAAGTCTGTTTATCAAGTGATGTTGCCACAGACGCTGGAAGTTCCCCCTTTCTTGGTGTGTTGTGACGTGTATCTTGAAAAAAAATGAGCATACAGTGATGTTTGCGGTTGAAACCTAACCAAATGAGACTAGATCACTTGATTAAACAGAAAGAAAGAAAATTAGACCTGCAGAGGCACACATACATACCACATGTTAAATCACTCTTTGGTTCTGGAGGATGCTTGTCTTTTCATAAAGACTGCATGTTTCAATGAAACGTTTCATTTGGTGTGTTTACTGTATCATGGAGACTAGAGATGGGTCCCCTCCATGATTGGGATAGTCCTTGACTATAAATTCATTTGATCACAATGTTTTAAAAGACTTTTCTTTTTCTTTCATAAAGCAGTGTATAGAAATACTTTTTAGTTTATTTGTGCAGTGAATAGATCTGGTAGGAAGGAGAGTTATGAGAAGTTATCCTAACTTTTCCCTACTTCACATCTCATTCCTTATTTCCGTGGCAAGAAATTTCCATTCTGTGTTTTCCAAGATGTGTGCTAGACATTCTACTCATGACATACAGGATGATCTTAAGGAGCACATGAATTTTAATATTTAATTAAAAAAATAAATAATATATCAAACTGAGTTTTTTGTATACTACTGCTTTGGATAAGAATAAAGTAAAATTTAAAAAAACTGCAAACAAAAGAATCATTAACATGAAATATGACATAATATGCAAATATACTGATACAAAAGAATTGCACAGTGTCAGGATAAAAGCTGCTCATGATAAAAATAAGAATATATTCGGCTAGGTCAATAATATAATTTTTAGATGATGATCTTCTGAATTTTGACAGTATCTCTGGAGAGATATAGTCTAGCTTTAATAAAAATCAAGAATTAAAATAAAACCCCAAGAAAATGAAACTCGCTCAGTTGTGTCCAACTCTTTGTGACCCCATAGACTATACAGTCCATGGAATTCTCCAGGTCAGAATACTGGAGTGGATAGCCTTCTCCTTCTCCAGGGGATCTTCCCAACCCAGAGATCACACCCAGGTCTCCCACACTGTAGGCAGATTCTTTAGCAGCTGAACCACAAGGGAAGCCCAAGAATACTGGAGTGGGTAGCCTATTCCTTCTCTAGCGGATCTTCTCAACCCAGGAATCGAACTGGGGTTTCCTGAAACCAGATGACTAATGACTAATTAGGGAAGAGGGGTTGGTTCAATATAAGCTCTTACAGAGTTTGTATATATAGTGCGATTTATTTATGGAGTGTCCAGTTTATATTTTACCCCTGAAAAGACAATGAATTTTACTTAGAGAAGCTTCTGAAGGTATTAGGTATAGTTGACAAAAGGGAATTGAGTGTTACTCTTACTATGTTAGTTCTGTCATTAGGATAAAAAATATTTGAAGGAATCACATTTATATTTGAAAATGTACTTAACATTTGATGTTTAAAAGATAATGTGATACATTTAGGAAGAGAACTAGTAAAATAAGGGGGCTTCTTTGGAAGTTACCCAGACAAAAATGATGAAGTTCAGAGATGGGTGACATAAAGGCATTCATTTGTGTGCTTCTTGTAGTTCAGTCCATAGTTACTTTTCAGTTAAAATCTTCAGCATTGCTCATGTTTATTTATTTAATAACCTCTCATTCCTCTAGATAATTGTGGACACGGTATGTTAGAGAACAGTGATTTAAAGTTTATTTTTAAAGGCCACTATTATTGCTATCAAAATATACTAATAATTTGCAAAGCATGTTTCTGTAACAGTAATTCCTTTGGGTGTTAATAAGTATTATTAGAACTATGATACCAGCTGTAGCAATGGTTCTGGAAGCACAGAAGTTTGGGAAATGTTGAGTTAAAGCTGAATAAACTTTTAAAATTGACCACCGCTGACCTTCTGAGAACCTTTAGTATGTTAATGCACATTTATCAGTCTAAATGGAGGTGGGTCGTGTGCAGCAGTGTCCTAACATTTTTGAGAACTGAACTCTCAGTAAGTATGGAAATAGTTTGCACAAATAATGTTCTCTTGACAGCATGTTAGGAAGCTCTGGTATGAGAGAGAAAACAAATATTTGTCTCTCTTACTTACATATTAGTGATTCCTTAAAGAACCAATCTTTTGCTACCTTGATATAGACTTTCAAGCTCAAGCATTTTCATGCAGTTACAATTGTGTGCTTTGAAGCCCAAATGGAGAACTAAACTCCTGATTCGGGGGGAGGGGAGAAATCCCTCTGAAATTCACAGTGGGCTGTTGAAGCCACTTCAGTGGCACACAGATGTAGCTGTGGTTTCAAAGGCTGCTTGGCAGCACATGCAGAGCCTGTGTGTACCAGGGCTGGGCAGATCCAGAGGAACTGTTGTCAGCAGGGCTGATGGTCCATGGCATGGCACCGAAGTCTCCTATCCGTCATACCATGTGCTGCTGTCTGGCTCCTTTTTGTGAAATCTATTAAGAAATGACAAATAGCATCTTTACTTAATCAATAACTTTGGCTGAAATTGTAGAGGATTTAGCAAAAGTCAATAGGATAAACAGGGGCTCTCACAAACATGATCTTGTCTGTATATTTCCTCTGTGAAACTGTGCTTAAGTAACCAGATTGCAGTCCTAAGAAAAGGAATACTTCATGTTATCTTTTTTAAAAAGATTAATGCTTTATTTTTGGAGCTTTACAGTAAAATAGAGCTGAACGTACAGAGTTCCCACATAGTCCTTCCACCCCCACCTCCCCCGCAGTCTTCCCCGCCATCAATATCTCACATCAGAGTGGTGTATTTGTTACACAATCAATGATAAGCGTACGTTGACACATCATTGTTACCCCAAATCCTTAGTTTACGTTGCGGTTCACTTTCGGTGTTGAATATATTCTTTGCGTTTTGACAAATGTATATGATATACATCTACCATTATGGTGTCATAAGCAGAGAGACATTATGCATTAAAAATTCCAGTGTTGCATTTTAAAATGTCTAGGAGATTGGTTCAATAAAACATTTAAGATTATGGCTATCAGTTTCAATGGGGATAAATTTTCATCTTTGCTGACTTGATTTTACATTCAGTTTCTACTCCAACTGCCTGAATCCTTGTAGGGAGTGCTTTGTTGAATGACTTTTCCAATCTTGATATAGATTAAACTGATGTTGAGCACTGCTGACATTTTACTGTGGGCATTAGGAATCACGGGAGAAAATAATGAGTATAAGATTGTATTTTAAAAGAAGAAATACATCTGTGTGGTGAGATTCTGTGACATGAACAGAAATTTTGATCCATTTAAACAAAATATTTTGACTTAATAAACTTTAATGGTAGTCCTACAATGTATCAGACCAAAGTACTGCAGATACAAAGGTGAATAAATATCTGTCCAAAGAGGGGTAGAGTATAGTCGGGCAGACTGATAATTAAGTGGGTCATCAGAGTGGAAAGTGCCATCACAGAGGAATGTACTGAGAAGGGGCTAATTCTGAAATTGTGGGACAGAAGAAAAGCGCTGTTAATAGACAGCCCAGAAATAAACCCACACACTTTTGGTCAATCAATCTTCTAAAAAGGAGGCAAGATTATATAATGGAGAAAAGACAGTCTCTTCAGCAAGTGGTAGTGGGAAAGCTGGACAGCTGCATGTAAATCAATGACATTAGAACACACCCTCACACCAAACACAAAAATAAACTCAAGAATGCTTAAAGATAAGATATGACACCATGAAACACCTAGAAGAGAACCTAAACAAAATACTCTCTGCCATAAATCATAGCAGTATTTTCTCAGATCACTCCCCTAAGGCAAAAGAAATGAAAGCAAAAATAAACAAATGGGACCTAATCAAACTTGTAAGCTTTTGCACAGCAAAGGAAACCATAAACAACATGAAAAGAGAACCTATGAACTGGGAGAAAATATTTGCAAATGATGCAACTGACAGAGGTTTAATTTCCAAAATATGAAAACAAACAGCTCATCAATATAAAAGAAAAATGAAACAACTCAATCAAAAAATGGGCAGAAGACTTAAACAGATATTTCTCCAAAGTAGACATACAGATGGCCAACAGGAACATAAAGAGATGCTCAATATTGTTAATTATTTTAAAAAATGCAAATCAAAACTACAATGAAGTCTCACTTCACACCAGTAAGAATGGCCAACATTAAAAAATCTTCAGATAATAAATGTTGGAAAAGAGGCAGAGAAGAAGGAATACACCTTCACTACTGGTGGGGATGGAAACTGGTGCAGCCGCTATGGAGAGCAGTATGGAGATTCCTTAAAAAGCTAAAAATAGAGTTACCACATGACCCAGCAATCCCACTCTTGGGTATATATCTGGAAAAGACAAAAACTCCGATTTTAAAAGCTATAGTCGTAGCCCAATGTTCATAGCAGCACTTTTTGCAGTAACCAAGACATGGAAGCAATCTATATATCCATTAACAGATGAATGGGTAAAGAAGATGTGGTACAAATACACAATGGAATACTACTCAGCCATAAGAAAGAATGACACATTGCTGTTTGCAGCAACATGGAGAGACTTAGAGATCATCATACAAATGAATTGTCAGACAAGACAAATATCCCACCTGTATGTGGAATCTAAAAAATAGTACAGATAAATTTGTTAACATTCACAAAACAGAAACAGACTCACAGACATGGAAAACAAGCTATGGTTACCAAAGAGGAAAGCAGGTGGAAGGATAAATTAGGAGTGTGGGATTAACAAATAATCACTACCATACATAAAGCAGAGAAACAGGATTTACTGTAGGGCACTATATTCAATATCTTATAATAATCCATAAGAAAAGAATGGAAATAAAAGCATATATGTGTGTGTGTATATACACATGTAACAGAGTCATTTTGCTGTATATACCTGAAAC